CCCCCCCCCCCCCCTCTTCGCACCCGTTGTTTTTTGACAGACATCTTAGATATGCAAATTTTCTACCTCTACTTCGCAACTTGCAAAATAACCGCGCGAGTCATGCGTTTGACCTGTTGACCCCTAAGAGTAACTAACATCTAATTTTTCTTTACAATATCACCCCTGAATCAAACATTAAGGTCATGAGAACAAAGGAAATGATCACAAACTAAGAAGCTCTTGATTGTTCAACAAATTCTCCTGTTTAGCACTTTAGGAAATGTATAGGGAATATTAGGGAGAATATGCATACTGATGTTAAGGTGTAAAGGATTAAACCATCGAATAAAGTGGTTTTTTTTTTCCTTAATGTTTTCAGACTGCGACGGTACAAGCCAACCAAATCACGCCTGGATTTCATCCGCCCACTGGTTGCCATTAGCGACAAGCCAGAGTTTATTTGAGCGGCAGTAAGAGAAATTAAATACAAATTTAATAAATATAGTTTTAAATTATTAACTCAAAAAGCTGCTAGTATTAGTTATAGTGCCTCAGTTGACAACCAATGGCTCTTAAAAGTCAAGTCAGTTGTTTTACGAATACAGAAGCTACAAAGTACGCTCCGCTGGTCAGCAAAAATAATATGGCTTTTTCCAGTTTGGCGTAAATCTTCTTTCTTAGGACAACTTTGTTGCTAGATTTTTTCCATAGCTTGCTTAGCTGTTAACTCGTTTTCCCTCGCTAGTATTCTCTGTAGAACTACGAATACAAAGCCATCCCTTCAAAAAATTTTGGAATACCCAATTATGATAATTTCGCGGTTTAGGTATTTCAACAGTTTTTAACTCTTTGAAATGCCCAAATTTCAGGGATGTTATTTGAAGCGTTTTACGCATCTCACGGGCCAGATAATGCCTCACGGATTTTGCTTCTGGTCGTATTGAACGAAAAATTAACACTCAGAGACAAATCTTTTTAGCCTGGGTAAGCTTCTTAATGTGACAAGCAGATAGGATTAATAAAAGGTAATATTTTAGATTCGCCCGTTTGATGCCAGCTATTAATTTATGAAATTTTCCTTAAATGTTTTGTGCCATTCAACACGGAAGTTAGTGGCAATTATTTCACATTTTAATATTTATATCGTAGACTATTTAATTCTTAGAAAATCTTTACTTGTTTACCCATGGCTCAGAAATTTGTGTGTCGAATGTTCTCAACACTGCATTATGCTCGTTCCCCATCATCAAGTTTTTGTAGACTGGAGTCCTCGAGGGACGAGAGGTAAAAGCGATTGTGTGGTGCAGTAGTTCTCGCCAAATTACTCGCTGAAGAGACTGAGAACGAGTCTGATACTTCCGTAGAGAAATTGAGCTGACATTTTATGTTTTTCGTTTTAGTACAGCGGAATACTAGAATACGTTAGTTTGGTTGTATCCCAATTTTCGTGTCATCAAATTTTCACTAATCGAAGGAGAAACGCTCTGAAATTTTAACTCTCAATTGTATTATTTTAAAAAAATTGTTAGAAAACCTAGCAATCGTGAACTGTCGAAAATTCTAAATTAGCTTCAATTGGGTTGGGGAGGGGAGGGTTGGTCTATGCGCGTCAAGAGGGCACGTTGCTATTTGATATCAAATGAGAATGTTATTTTATAGCGCTAACTTAAACAACTAATTTAATGCACCTTATCATTGTATATAGATTTAACAAAGTTGTATTTTGCTTAATAAATTCACACTAAAACATTTTTATGGGTATCTTGTAATTATTTATTACTTTATGGATGTGGTCCTAAATAAGTAAGCCATGATTCATTGCCGTTTTTACTGAACCACATCTGTGGTCACCCTTCGAGTAAAATCCCCATTATTCTTTTACTACAATTCGGGCAGAGGAAGGAATTTTTCCTACGAATAATGTAGGGGGGGCTGTGCATAAATTAACTCCAGTCAGCCAATGACGACCTTGAAATCTAAAAGTTCATGCGCTCAGCCGTTTCTGTTATGTACAATATCACAGAGTGGAATCATTTACAAGGTTTGTCCACTTTTCACAGCGCAGCAAAATCCTCCTTGAGTTGATTTAGGACATCTTTACTGTCGCTGTGATCCGGATAGCCTTCTAAGGAATTAGTTATGGAGCTGTGACTGCTCTGTAAGTCTCCAATCTACAAAATTACACACAAAATAAATTGAGAAAAAAGCAAACAAACAAAGCGTTTAATACTGAGAGGCACGAGACTGTGGGGTTGCTTCAGGATGAGTGATAAAGAAAAATCGGAAGTAGCACTGTCTGTTTTCATCTACGAAAAAATGAAAGAATTTGCTGACTGGCAACTATTTTTAACATTCTTTGCCCAAAAAATAAACTCTCAGTTCCATCATTAACCAGTAGTCTCGTATCCAGACCTTCCACGGCCAAGGAATCGTGAGATCCTACATTTCAGTGACACGGTAGACGCAAGATCTGGGTACGAGATTAGCCGACCAGCTGAGGGTAATTTCGGACCCTGTTTGTTGGCCACTGAACGCAAGCTTGTGTTAAGTTGAAAACAGTCGCCCTCTCTTTGCAGTTAATCAACACCGAAAAAAGAATGAAATGACAAACCTTAAGTGACAGCAGTCCATGATTGTAGTGGGGCTCATACATATGAGGAGCGAGAGACGCCGCCGCCTGAAGGAACGCGCGGGCCTGGAAAAGAACATTAAATCAGGTTTCACATTCGAAAATGCAACAGTTGTCAAGTTTATCTAACAAGGAGTTATGAAACACAATGATGGCCTCAGCAATTAAATCAAATTCCCCTAAATAATTTACTGCTACCTATTCATTACTTTGTGGAGAGGCACGGGGGGGGAAGGGGAGGGGGGGGGGAGAGGAGAGGAGACGGGAAGAGGGGTGTGTTTAAGTGTCTTGCCCGAGGAAAAATTCGACAAAGGCTCGACCTAAGACCTCTTAATGAGGAGTCCAACCTGCTAAACATATGGACACCGTGACTTCTACGGAAAATAATTTTTAACGAACAGTGAAAAGTTTTACCTGTTCTGTGTGACCCTTTCGCATTTCAAGTACCCCCAGATTATTGTAGGCTTCGGCGTGATCGTTGTTCGATGCCAGAGCGAGCCTGAAACATTGGTAGGCAAGCTGAATGTCACCAATACCCTGAAACCAAAAAGCACAGTTCGATAATATTTACACTGAAACAAAAAGATGCCCTAAAAAGTAAAGATCTCATGCCCCACCGCGAACGGGCCCTAACATAATATTTTTTCTGCGATGATTTTCGATAAAGGCACGCGCGGGTCATATGACAAAAATCCTTCATTCTTCACATTGTATAATTTTAATATAAAAAGCGAATCTTTACCACAGCGACGTGACCGATGTTGTACCAAACATCCGCCATGTTTTCATCCGAGGCCAGAGCCAATGCTCTTTCGAAACAGTTCAATGTCATGTCATACTGTTGAGCGAAAAAACAGCACAGGCCAAGATTTGTGAACAGTTCTGCATTGTATACTCCCATCTGGAGAAGACGGCTGTGAAAGGAAAAAGTCAGCTGTATTAGCATACTAGTCTGCTGTGGCAGTAATTTTAAGAGGCAGTCGTTCCCAAGACTCCTGCACCTTTAAATGGGTACAAAATTCAAAGCTTTCCCCAAACTCTTTTACCAAATCACCCTCTGGGGGAAACGGTGTGACAATATTTGGCTAAGAATGAGTAGGGGTAAAACTACGTGATCTGTGCAGAAAAGCGATTGTCCGCTAAGAAGGTCGGTTCCCTAAAAAATTTCTCGCACATAACGAAGCACTTGTTGCAGCTAACAAAAGCTATTTCCTTCCCACCATTCCGGTATTCATTCCAGCGTTTTCACCGGTTACCTATTTCTGAAGCGCCGGTTACTTTAAAAAGACAAAACAGTGATTATCTTGATTAAAACTTAAAAGAAAACACTGAATAAAAGTAAGTGGTATAGTCGCTGGAAAAATAGATTCTCTTGCCCTTTGCTTCTAACTGGCTGTTTTTTTGTTTTGTTTTGTTTATTTTGGTTTTTTTTGGGGGGGGAGGGGGTTGTTTGTTTATTTGTTTGGTTGCTTTTTTTTTTAAGGTTGGCTTCTAAAATATCTCTGAAAAACACTACGCACTTACCGATAAAATCTGAGCGCTATTTCCGGCTGATCGGTGTAAAAATGATGCGTTGCAATGCAAGCGATAGCCTCCACATGTGTGTTGTCATAATGAAGAACATCTTTATACAGCTTGACTGCGTTCGTCATGTCGTTTAACTCCTGAGGATACATTAAAGAAAAGCAATAAAGGTCTGCTACAGTTCTTAGTCTGCTATGAATGACATTTTTTCCTATCAATTCAATACATATAAGTCACACTGCCGGACGACAAAGGGAGGCCATTAATCGGCCCCCTTCCTTAAATTAAGATTTTTTCCTATAAAAATAAATCCGTGTTTTGAGAAAACTCAGGTGAAATAGAAAAACTGATGACACTTTTAATGGTGCTCTGCAATCTCTCACGCAAATCTTTTACGACGAATTCCCCCGTTAAAAATTAATTCCCATATTCTCGGTGGTGAAGTTACACTAGGGGTTACCTTCAGTTAGCGTCATGTACGCAAATCTTAACGGTGGCGCCCAGAAAAACATAAATTTAAAAGACAATCTGCTAAAAATTGTTCTCTAAACTTTTGCGAAAGCATTTTTGGAGTGTCAGTTCATCTCAGGAAAGGTCCCAGACCTCTCTCTTGACATGTTTTACAAAGGATCGAGGAAAACGGAAAAAAATTTAAAAAAGACGCATACAAGACCACTGTTCTGCTCACTAAATATTTCTTTGTTAGATTGTGGCCGTTGCTGTCTTGTCATGTGGGAGGTCCCCTTTATAAAAGTCAGATGGACACATCACAGAAACTTGTCCTTGTAATTGGGAACAAGTATTCTTAGTAACACGTTGTGGCAAAGTTAATAATCTGAGATATATTTCCTTACCTCGTGGATACGGGCTATTCCTGTTAGAAGAGTAGTCTCTCCAGGAAATTTCTCTAAGGCCTGCAGAATGGATGAAATTAGAACCAATAGAGGAAAGTATGTCAGAATGTTGTAAGAGAGCGCTTTTAGATTTGTGACGTTAAAAAAATACCGAATTAATCGTAACCGGAAAAACGTGGGTAACCAAGTCGGTATAAGCACGCTACTGATTGGTTGCGAGGTCGAAAGTTCTACACCGATCACTGAGAGCACAGCAGCGCAACACTATTGACACCAAAGAGAAAATTGATCTCAGGATGGACAGACACAACTCAGCACTATGACAGGGGTGGAGAGGGTGAGGGGAGACATAACACGCAAAGACAAACCTTTTTGTATACTTCAACAGCAGTCATTGGTTGGTCGAGCCTCCTATACACTTTACAAAGATACAGATAAGTATCCACAACGTCTTGATCACGTAGCGCAGATTTAAGCTGCCTCTCGGCATCACGATACATACCAAGTCTGGAAAACAGAAAGCAAAAAAATCCGTTTCGAATCTAACTGGTCAAGAAAGAGGGGCAAATTTTCTGGAACAATCACATAGCGAAACAAAGAACAACCAAAGCAATTCCACACACACCAGATTTCTTCCAGCACTCAATTGAAAATTGCTCTCTCAAACATGAGTAACTGTACCTGTAATAACTTTTTGCAAGTTGGACTTTCCACCACCAGTCTTTAAACTGACACTCTTCAGTTGCTTTGGCCGCAAGCTCTAATGCCTGAAAAGAACAGGTACATCACAGTCTTTGAAGAGGCACATGTCTTAACTTGGGAACATACTATGACCTTTCGTTCAAGCGAACTTTGCTCTAACGAAGGGCTAACGCTCGAAACGTCAGATTAGAACTCTTTACGGTGGCCAATTTACGTTATCAACTCAGTTGATAATACTTAATTACCTACTGGTGTTTTGCTCAAGGTACTTTTAAAAGTGCCAGTAATTTGGTTACCACTGAACACGATGAGAGAGCCACGGGGAACAGTCCCTGATTCTGAAAAATTTACTTTCAATATGATTACGGCTTCTGGTATTTTTAGCAACAGTTGACATATACACACGGGAGACATTATCTTACAATTATAATCTAGTGCTTTTCTTATTTTCATATTTTTATTTTTTTCCTTCATTACTTACATTTCGCACATCATTTTCATGGTGGAAAATGTATTCAAACAAGACCTGAAAAATTAAAAAACCAAAAGATTAGCAGAATTGCTCCTTAAATGCGTTAAAATTCCTTTATTATTGAAGATATTTTACACCAGAATCCTTTTTTTTCCTGTTATTTATTCATTTTCTTTTAAGTAATATGTTGATGTGCGCACCATACCTTTGCAAGATTTTGCCTCTGTGCATATTTAGACAAGTTGAGTTTTGCAATGTTTATAAATGGTCCATCAGGTTGTGACAGCATGGAAGCCTGAAAAAAAATAATAAAGAAAAAGTTTCCATGAGAGTTCTGTTCTTGTGGAATTCACTCCACAAGAACTGTTTCACTTAAGGTTTGGATCTTCTACATGCAAAAATGAAATTAAAACAGCAAAATAATTTAAAATGAGAGAGAATTGCCACTCAAGTACATGTATTTTGAAATTTTGTATATCATGCATGGATACCTTGTTAACTAACATTTCAAAAAGCTGTCTGGATAGTAAAAAGTGTAACAAGTTCAAAAATAAGGCATTCAAACTTAAA